CGTCCCACGCCACGCCCCGGGCTACACACCACACCATCCACGCATACAGGGGTGCCGTGGTGACGGCGGGCGTCATGGCGATGATTTTGCCGGCCACCTGCGCCACCTGCCGCGCTGTTAGCCGTTTGCCTTCGAGCTGTGTGAGCAGCGTACGGAATCTAGCTAGCTTGTCGTCTGGTACTCTGAATGCTTGCGCCTCCGCATCCACCTCCATCCCCAAGAAACAGACTCGCCTTCTTGGGATCAGCTGGCACTTGGACAGGCTGAGGGTGAAGCCTAGGGCCGCCAGCAGCCGTACCACCGCCCCACACTCGTACTGTGCCGCGGCCTTCGACCCCGCGGCACCCATCTGGTCGTCTATCAGGAAAGACATGCGGACCCCTAGCTGCCGTAAAGGCTGGAAAACCTCGAGCTTCAGGGCGGTGCAGGCAAGGGAGGGCGGAGGGGGCGGACAGAGGAGGGTAGCTCGGAGGGTGGGTCGGATGCTGGTGAGGAAGAGGTCCTAGCCGCTGGCGCTGGGGAGGAGTCCAGCTCGGAGGACCCGGGCAAATATAGCGAAGCTAGCAGCAGCAGCAGTGGCAGTGGCAGCAGCGACAGTGGTGGAAGTGAGCAGTAACATGACAGCAGTGATGAGTGCTTGGGGGTGCACACACCAGGTCGGCCCCAGGCAGGATGGGACAGACCGATCCCAATAGGTGCCGGTACATGTCATGCATCGGGGGTTTCATCCGTAGGAGTAGGCACGAACTCTGCAAGTGGTGGTGAGACTCCTTGGCGAGCACTTGCTGTATGGGGGGTGACATGAACGCTGTTTTCGAGGACGATGGTTGAGATGAATGCATCAGGCTGTCAGGCTGGCTGGTTGGCGTTGTGAGTCCAAAGCGCCTTGGTCCACAAGCACACTGAGACTTAGGCTACTTTGACAAGGGGTGTGCGTCCATTTTGAGGCTTGCCGCAAGTATTCACCAATCGTTAATTTAACATGCAGTAATTGGTTACATGCGCCCGTAATTCACCTAGCACCGTGTAATCCACCCGTAATCACTGGGTCTTCACCCGTAATTTGCGTGTAATTGGTTACATGCGCCCGTAATTCACCTGCAGCACCGCGTAATATTCACCCGTAATCACTGGGTCTTCACCCGTAAGTTTGCGTGTAATTGGTTACATGCGCCCGTAATTCACCTCCAGTACCGCGTAATATTCACCCGTAATCACTGGGTCTTCACCCGTAAGTTTGCGTGTAATTGGTTACATGCGCCCGTAATTCACCTCCAGCACCGCGTAAAATCCACCCGTAATCACTGGGTCTTCACCCGTAAGTTTGCGTGTAATTGGTTACATGCGCCCGTAATTCACCTCCAGCACCGCGTAAAATCCACCCGTAATCACTGGGTCTTCACCCGTAAGTTTGCGTGTAATTGGTTACATGCGCCCGTAATTCACCTCCAGCACCGCGTAAAATCCACCCGTAATCACTGGGTCTTCACCCCTAATTTTGCGTGTAATTGGTTACATGCGCCCGTAATTCACCTCCAGCACCGCGTAAAATCCACCCGTAATCACTGGGTCTTCACCCGTAAGTTTGCGTGTAATTGGTTACATGCGCCCGTAATTCACCTCCAGCACCGCGTAAAATCCACCCGTAATCACTGGGTCTTCACCCGTAAATGTTCACCTGTATCCTTGTGCTCAAATTACGGGACCCGTAACGTGTTACGGACCCGTAATTTCTGTCAAATTACGGGTGGATTGACCCAAAATTACGGGTAAAATGACCCCCCTTTTCCCAGAGTGTCTCCCTTAACAGTCCCAAGTGTGCACAGCGATAGTAAGTAGCAATCCTTGCTCTTGGAGTGAAGCCGAGCCCCTGGTACAGCCCGGAGCCCCTAGTACGCCCACGACCGGAAAAGAAGCTAAGCCGTTCACAGAAGAGCGCAAGGGCTTGTGCTGCTGCAGATTGCCCCCTAGGGATTGGGGTGTGGTGGTGGGGTCAGCGGCCAGTATGGGAGAAGACCTCTTCTGGGTGGGATAGCACAGGGCGATGCCATGCTCGCCACTGAAACCACCCATAAATCCTCCACAGCAGCTGCTCGGTCAGCAGCTGATTGAACGTCGGTACCCTCCGGCTGGAAAGGAGCTAAGGGCACCTTTGATTATGGACATTTAACCGACACCATCCAAGGACAGGATCAGTGTACAGGATCAATGCCCTGCAACATCCGTACAAGCCGGTACCCGGCTCCGGCCCCTCCACCTTGTGCACTGAGAGGCGAATGAATGAATGAATGAATGGGCCATTCAGTTCCACACAGCAGCGCATGGTGCATCAGCTTATATACCCGCCTCCAACAGCAGCAGTAGCAGCAGCAGTAGCAGCAGCAGTAGCAGCAGCCTGATGCAACACGGAACCGTGGCGGCACTCGGACACATCTACCTCACTACCTCTACCTCACTACCCCAAGCGAAGTTGAACAGTGCCGCCGCAGCGAGAAGGGACGAAGGGCCGCAATGTGGATCCGGATCCTGATCCGGATCCGAACACCCCGACCACCACATACCTATGTTGGTCCCTTGACTGACCCCTCACCTGCTGCTCCTCTTCATTCATAACCACCCTGCTGCCGTACAATATTTTGGTGTTGCACTAGTGGCTGATGGACTTAATGCCTGCCATCCTTCAAGTGCCGCAGCAGCACCACTTCCGTCACTCCCATGCCGACTGCCATACGCAGCCACTACCACTTCTGCCATCACCACGATTACTAGCAAGTCAAGCCGTACTCAGCTAGCAGAGCAAAACTTCGTCGTACATCCCATAAAACATTATTCCTGCAAGCTTACGTACTATCGTATTGTGTTATATAAGACGTAATGACACATGCTGCACATGCGTACATACACTAACCGTCAACTTCCCCATCGACCTTCAAAATTACCCGCTATCCAGCTATATCCTGTACACACTGTGACATGCACACCTCCTTCCACATGCCTGGCCAGCGGTATTATGGCCCGCATGCATTCGTCAGCCAGCAGTACGTCAGCTACCTCAGCCCTGACCAGCTGACATGTGGGCGGTCTCGGAGTGCAGTGCCCCGGTCAGTCGGTCGGCCGGCCAGAGGCTCCCCCCACTACTAACCCCACTAATTCGATATGGAATATTTCACTCCATATATATTGCTATTATTAGTTTATTGGCTTGCGGCATCATCCTCATTATCCTCTCCCTCTTCCGAACACCCAAGAATCCGCACACGCATCATCTCCCCCCCTCACCCCCTCACCCCCTCACCCCCGATCATAACGGACGCGATCGATCAACCCGCAGCAGCCGGAGCCCATACATGGGGACCATTTCTTTATACACACACAGAGCACTAAAGCTAGCGATTGCCGACATGCATGGCCGACCAGCAGCAGCAACTACAACGGTAAAAACATCAGGTGCAGGTGCAGGTGCAGGGGGCATGTCAGTTAACACAAGCAGCAGCAACAAGCCGGACAGCCGGCCAACCCTCAAGCGGGACACCGAACCCCCCCAAACGCACATGGACACAACATACCCCTCCAACATATACATACATACATACATACATACATACATACATACATACATACATACAAGCACAAGCACAAGCATCAGCTCATATTTTCATCCCCAACAAAAGCTCCCAACAGTCTGCAGCTCCCCTCCCTCCTCCCCTTCCCCCCAACACACACTTACATACGCACATACATACACACACCCCTGGCCCCCCATCCTTAGCACGCCGTGCTGAATCCCTTCTTCCCGTCAACTCCTCCCTGCTGTGATGGTGCTGCTGCCGCTGCCGCCCGCAACTGGCTGTAGCAGTGCTCCAGCAGCGCCCGCCACTCCTCGGCCATCACGTCCTCACACCACGCGGCGGTCGCCGGCTGCTTCTGGGGCTGCTGGGGGTTGTGGTGCCGCCAGCTGACCCCCGACTGCCCCAGCTGCCTGCCCGCCCCAGCTGCCGCCGCCTGGCTGCACACCGCCACCCACTTGGCCGGTGAGAAGGTGTCACCGTGGCTGGCTGCCAGCTTCTCCAGGTGCTCGTCACCGGCTGCGTGGCGCCTCATGGCTTGCAGCACCCGGGGGTGGATGGGGTGGGGGCCGGTGGCGGAATACCCTACAGACATACATACAAACATACGCAGGTCACGTAAAGGTCTAAATACTCTTAGTGGGTCAGATCCTATTTGATATCCCGAAAATATTTAGCGCCACAAACGTTGGCCTACTGCAGTGTACTTGCGGCACTCACAATAATTGGCGTTGGAGAATCCCGTACCGAACTCGCCGTCGTGCAGCCCCTGGGGGTTTGGGTAGGGAGCGGACGTTTGGGGGGGGTAAGGGGGGTAAGACGAACCACTGGCGAATGGAGCAGATACTAAAGACGGGTAGTCCAGGAGAAGTTATAAATACTGGCAGGAAAAGATTTACTGAGCACCAAGGGATGTCTTAGGTGCGTAATCTTGGCGGCGACGTAGCCAGCTTGGGTTGCGAGACGAAGGACTAGCTGGCAAGTCCAAAGTCCAAAGAAGGCAGAAGGCGAAAAACCCAGAAGGACTACCTAGCCGCCTAGATGAAAGGAAAGTCGTGTAAAAGCCAAGAAACAAAAAGAATGGAAGCCGTAGAGGTGATGTGTAAAACAAAATAGGAAGGAAGGGTATCGGAAAGTGTACAATGATTTAATCGGATCGGGGTTTCGGGGGGTGGCCTGGGAGGGGGGGATGGAGGGGGAATTGTACGAATAGGAAACCCCGCCAAACGAAAACACTGTGGCCGGATCCCCCCGACCCTTCCGTACCTGCCCTCGGCACCAGCTCTTCGCCCACACAGATTGCCCCCCTACCTTGCCTCCCCCTCCTCGCGGGTGGTAGGTGTTATCCTTTTCCACACGTTTATTGCCCCTCCTCCCTTCCCGCCCTTTTTTCTACCCATTCCCCTCCCAACTTTCCTTTTCCCCCCCCCCCCAAAACACGCAAAGACACCAACCTCGGCTCTGTGCACCAGCGCATGTACGTACGCAGCATCTTGGGCTGCCGGACTGCCGGGTACGGGCGGACCGCCGTACGGAGTGGGGGAGCCCCAGCACAGCGGGGTCACCAGGTTGTGGGCCTGATCTAAACCGCTGCAGGGAGGGGAGGGGAGGGGAGGGGGGAAAGACAAGCCACGAACGAGTGAAGCTGCTGCCAGGGCAAGAGTGTACCAGACGTAGAACTGACCAAAAGGCGTCCTTGAAGGCGGTGACCTCGGGATGAACCTAGTGAACCTACCTAGCCGCCAAGGCTAAAATAAGCGCGGAAGAAAAGCAGTAAATCGAATCCGTAAAGAACTAAAGATAGGTGTAGATGCGGCAGAAAAGTAGTAAAAAACTGCTGACGTGAAGCTGGAATAAAGTTTGCCGCCGGTCTGGCGGCGGCATTGGCGAGGTTTGGCCAAAAACTGGCTGATTAGCTAGTAATAAAAAGCTGCTGGTGACATGCAAGTGCTCCTCCCCACCACACACACACGCCCGTCCCGACCGACCCGACTATCCTGGTCCTAGGGGGGGAGGGGGAGATGATGATGCAAGAAGCAAGGTGTCAAGTGCCGATATCGGAGGCCCCGTAGCAGTGCTAAGGGGGAGGAGGGAGGTGAGAAAGAGGGAAGTGGGAACTGCTGCCGGTGTGCTGTCCTTAAGAGGTCCGACACTGCCTAGTGAGTGGAGCGAAGCTCATTTCGCTACGGACGTTTATTGCGGTGTTAGGTCTCGTAGGATTGTCCTCGACATCCAGCGTAGTGTGGACGAGCTGTATCTACCGGGGGTGGGGGGTGGGGGTGGAGGTACTGATGAAACGACGTGCTAGTGGTGGTAAAGGTCAAGTCTGGCTATAACTTTGTCACTATAACAATCAATGCGAGATGTGCCCGGAACTGCCGTAAAAGTCAAGGAAACAACGTAAAGCAGCTGTACACAGAGCTGCAGACTTACCTACATCTCGCACAAGGACAGCAGAGCCACGACGACACCCCCACCCCCGAGTAATTATTAGAAGACAAGTGAAAGAGGCGAAATAGTAATAGTCACAGGGTCAGCATGACGGGAGGAAACAAGATATGTATATGTGTGTGGTGCATCTGCGTAAAACTGCAAACTAGGAAGAAACAAGCAGATTTGAGACAGCTTGGGACGAAGGTACGGATGTACGGAAGGAATATACAGCAGAGGAGAAGGAAGAAGTGCAAGCAAAACAAAACAAGCAAGCTAAAACTGTAAGGCAGGTAAAAGGAAATGTTAGGGATAAATAACGTAAAAGAAAAACGGGGGACGCGGGGCCTGTGGAGGGCCCCTTGGGATTGGACGGTGGTTCGTGCATCATACACACACATCCCTCAATCGTTTCCCCCCCCCCCTTTACCACCCTACCACCCGCCCCGTTACCCGGCCCCCGCCATACAACACTACTCGGCATAGCGATACACGCCACGCCGGGGGCCCCGGAGGCGGCGGCGGCGGCTGACGGCCCTCCAACCGCCCCTCCGACTAACTCCCCGGCGGTCCTCCTGTCCTCGGGGCGAAACACTAAAGAAGAACCCTTTAACACCACACTCACTCACACGACGCCAAATGAGGAGCCCACCCCACCCCCACCCCACCCTACCCTCAATACACACACGTGCCGGTGTCCTCAGTTCCCGTTCCCTCCATGCCACCCCACCCCGCCAACCCCTCCCGCCATTCGGCACCTGGGTCGGCCACCCGCCGGCTCGAATTCAACGAAATCCTAGTGTGGTGTCTACAACCCGAGTGTATGCCACCGAGCCCCAGTCCAGCCGTACACACATCCGTACATTTATAGCCGTACCGACTCACCCACACGCTACATACAGCAGCCCCGCCACCACACGTGCGTAGTGTTCAGCCGCCGCCGCCGCCGTCGCGGGCTGGGAGGGGGGGGAGGGGGGGGAGGGGGGGGAGTCGGGGCTGGGCTGTGGAGCCCCTTGCCGCCGCGACGGCGGCGGCATGACGTCCGCTGGGGTGAGACCTTGTACGACAGCCGGCAGATGCGATGATGACACGTCGGCGTCGTACACCTGCCAGCGGGGTAGTATCAACAGCGGCGGCAAGTTGGGTTTATAGGGTTTACATTGCGCCTGTGCGCCTGTGTGCAAGTGTGCATGTGTGTCAGCTTACCTAGGGTTTAGGCCCTGAGGGAGGCGGTACCACTGGAGGGGTACCGCTGCGACACTTCGTGGCTTTGGGCGACGTTTATAACGACAATGTAGCTATAGCATACAGAGCGCATAGCAGGCTGCCACTGCCGGCCCATCTAGCGCACTCCCACTTAGGCTTAATCGCATGTACATGCGTTTTGAGGGCTCACCATCGGAATGGACTGCAATCGCATCGGGTTTGCTTCGAGGTAATGAAGCACAGCTTGGACACGTTCCGGGTAGGCGGGCACAGCGGTGCGCTGGCCCTTGGACCTGGGCTTCGCCGCAGCCGCTGCCAAAGGGGCGACAGAGTCTGAAGCTTCAGCCATGGCGACAAGTGTCAGAAGTCTCGCTGCCGAGGCAACCAACTTTGACCTTGGCGCTGGCGTAAGAGAGCGGTTAAGGGGCTGGCCCGTGAAGTACATGGTGTCCTGTCCTTTTGTGTGAATTTAATGACAGCTCAACTTATGGGGACTGACCGCTGAACACTTTCGCCAAACCACGCAAACCACCAAAAGTGGTTGCCCATGGGAAAGATTTACATGGCGCTCTCATACTTCATCTCATGGTTCTTCCATATGATTCCAAAATTATAAACGAATGTAAAGCGTCTTTAAGATTTAATTTGCGGCCAATTTTCCGTGCGGTGTTGCACCTATCTCACCTGCGCCCTTGGCCCAAGCCGGTCGTTGATATATCTACCCTTACTAACACAAAATACTATGGCAGACATTGCGGCTAGGCAACAGCAGCAGCCGGGCGCCGGCGGCCATGGCCAACCTCTGCCTGCGCAGCTCGCCTTCGGGAGACCCGCAAATGACGCAGACGACAGCGGCACGGATACAGATGATGAGGGCCGTCTCATCCAGCAGGTGTGACTGGTACTCCGCTTTTGCTTCGTAGCCGACAAGGGGCTCTTGTCGTGAGCCCGACAGGTGTGAACCAGCTCTCCCACACCGCCCTCCACGGCAATTCCTTCTCCCGCACGCAGGCCGCAGCCACAGCCAAAATCCGCGGGTCTGAGCCACCCAGCAGCGAGATCCCGGCCCCAAAGCCATTCCGCGCCGGCACAACTGCGGCGGCGGCCACAGGCGCTGCCGCCACAGCTGCCCCACCAAAGCCCATAGCTCCCCCCGCTCGCCCCGCGCAGCCGCAGCCGCAGCCCGCACCTCGCCCCCCGGCTGCCGCGACCGTCAAGGGCAAGGCCGCCCCCAAGCGACCAGCCGGGGCCATCACGTTGCGCACGCTGCTGGATGCCGGCTTCCTGGTTCCCGGCAGCAAGGTCCTGTACGTGGAGTACAAGGGCCTTATCACCTGGGCCGACCTCACCGAGGAAGCCACCATCCTGTGCGAAGGTGCGAAGTCAGACCAGTCGCGTGGCAATAACCTTCGCATCTGGCGTGTCTGAGGCTGAGGTATCTCCGCGTCTCTCTCTCTGTGCGTGTATATGTCCGTCTGTATGTTGGTGTGTGTGCCCCTCGCGTCCTTGTGGGGGATGAGGAAGCCCTGGGTGTGGTGGGGAGCGGTCCCTGGCGGGGGTTTGTGCTGGTGCTGGTGGAGGACGGGGTGTACGGTCCTCTCAGGATTTCCGGGAGCACCCTGAGCCGCCCTATCAGGTAAGGTGAGGTGAGGTGAGGTGAGACAAAGCGGTGGTGTATCTTTTGGTAGGGGATCCTTTCACTCCGCCGTCTTGCCGTGATGCGGCATTTGGGGGTGCCGGCGGCGGTTGCGGAGTGAACGACGGGATAGAGGACAGAGGCGGGATCAACATCAACCGCATCAACTGAAGACAGAAGTAGCGACAGCAAGAAAAGGCTGGCGAAGTAGCAGTCATGAAAGTGGTGGTGGTGGGGTGTGGCTGGGGATGGGTTGGGATGGAATCTGTCTGATGCCAGGCGGACGGAGGCTTCCAATGAACTGCGCTACTGCTGCTGCTGCTGCTGCTGCAGTTTCTCTTGCTCTTGGGACGTCCTGCTTGGAGGTGTCTTGAGCGGTGGCAGTGCGGCCAGTGGGGCTGTTTTGGGGTCGCGATACGCCCTCTTTGAGTCGTCGTCCTTGTTTTGCAGTGCTCACGTCTTTACTTGATTGTCACGTCACCCCAGTGCAGTATTACAGTGCACACCTGCACACACCCATCGCGGTTTCCTCAGGTTGCTAACCTTGCCAACTAACTAACCGACTCCGTTCCGTTCCGCGGTGTTGAAGTTGTCTCCATCATGTTGACTTCTCCCCTTCCCTCCCCCCCCTCCCCCCTTTCCCCCCTCCCTCCCCCCCCGGCCCCACAGGCCAGGCGTTCGAGTCCCCCTCCGCCTTCTCCATCTGGGTGAAGCGGAAGCTCAACCCGGAGCGAAAGGCGGATGACGGCTGGAAGGCGGTCAAGTACGCGGGGAAGTGAGTAGAGGTGGCAGTAGCAGCAACAGCAATGGAAGTTGTAGCATGTCTGTCGTGCAGTCAATATTTATGGTCCTAGTAATGATGAGTAGTGCGGTAGTGGTAATATTGGTAGCGCCGGCAGCTAATGGTCATTTGCTGTCATGGCGTCTTCGTGAACCCCCAACCGGCTCCCCTCGGGTCCCGACCGCCCGACTCAGCTCACCACTATTGACGGACAGACACACAGACAGATAGACAGACGGACCAATAACCAACCTGTCAGGCATTAGCACTCCCCCTCCCCCCCGCGGTTCGCTCTCCCCCTCTCCTCCTTCATTCTCATCCTCCTCCGCTTCTTCCGTATCCAATTTCTTTTACCCTTTCCCCTGTTGTAAGGGGTGCCGGCCCCCCCCGTACAACCTGCCACCGCCTCCCTTCGCCCCCTTCGTCCCATCCCATCTTCAGCCCTATCCCCCTCCTCGACCTCCGCTTCCTCCTCGCACCACCAGGCTCCTGGAGCACTTCAAGGAGCAGTACCTGCGCCAGCAGCTGGCGGCCTCCGGGCTGGGGGCCCTCAGTGGGGGCGGCGGAGGCGGCACTCGCGGGGCCACCCCCACGGGCTCCTTTGGAGGGGTGGGGGTGGGCGGAGGGGGGGGTCCGTCACCCCACTCCAGCAGCTACCCGTCGCCACTGAGGCAGGCGGCAGGGCTGGGGCTGGGGGTGGCGGGGGCTGAGGCCAATGGGGCCGCTGATGAAGGTGAGTGAGGGGGTGGTGGGGGTGCTGGTGGGCTGGGAGGGGGGGAGAGAGGAGGGGATGGATGGCCCCAGGGGTGCAGTCGCCCCGCTTATTCCGCCTCTGTGAGCTTTCCGTTTCTGTTGGAAAGGATCTTTCCATGTGCCCCTTCCCAGACTGGCTTACTTCTTACTGGGGCCCCTCCCGCGGCTTCGGCCGTGCTTCGGTTCCTACACCCTAGGACAGCGAATGCAGCTGCAATGATCCGCACCAGTATTCCCGCTGGTCTTGGACCCTCACTCACTCACGCACTCACGAACGTTACATGCTGACCCGCCTCCCCGGCCGCCGCTACTTCAACCCCGTGTTTGCGATACAACGCCTCTGACACGACAACGCTCCCCGCCGCCGCAGCAGCCCCGCCCCGCACTAAAGGCCCACTTGGCACATCTCGCCGCACGCCCCACCCGGGTTCATTCCGTCCCCCCTCCTGCCCGCGGGAACACCCCTCCAGATGGTCCCCCCAGCAAGCGGCAGCGCACCGAGGAGGGCCCGGAGGTGGAGGCGGGATCCAGCGGGGGCGGGGGGGTTGGGGGGGTTCGGGCGGCAACAGGTCTCAAGATAAAGCTCAAGCTCAAGGTGGGCTGGGGGGTCGGGGGGCGAGGGGAGGGGGAGGAGGGGGGTGGAAGGAGGAGGAGGGGGAGGGGGAGGAGGGGAGGGGGGAAACCACACAGGGGGTGGCGAGGGTGGAGATGCTGTCGATTGACGCGATCCGTATGGACGTGATGTACGGCAAACATGTGTCTGCGGAAAGCTGTGCGTGTATGCGTGTATGTATGTCCGGGGCTGTTTCCGCTCGGCGAGCGTGCCGGGGGACAAAAAGCGGCTGGGGGGATGACTGGGTGGCAGGGCGGGAGGTGTAGCGAGCGAGGAGGTGGAGGAGGGGGTGGAGGAGGGGTGGAGGGTTTTAGCAACGACAGCAGGTGGGTAGATGTCGGAGCATGTGGAGGGACTGGTGGTACCAAAACTGTCCGCCAGCCAAACCCCGTTCTCAACATACAGGCCCCCATCACACAAACACACACGTACACACACACCTCTCTCCACACCACCCCTCTCAACCCCCCCTGTGTCTGCAGCCCGCCGCCCCCGCCCCCGGCCCCGCCCCCGCCCCCCGGTCTGCGGGACCACTGCTGCCCCTGCCCGGGCCCGCCGTGTCCGAGGTGGCGTGTGGGAACTACCTGGGAGCTGAGCCCGGCAGCGGGGCGGTGGGGGCGCAGCCCTTCAGACTGAGGGTGTCGGACATGTAGGTGGTCAGGTCGTGGGGGGAAGGGGGGAGGGGGGAGGGGGTAGCGAGTGAGGGCGCTTGTGGGTGTGGGTGTGGGTGTGTGCGCGGCGTGTGCAAAGCCCTCCGCACATTCTCGTTCTGTTGGTCGTACACGTTGGACGCGCTGAACTGGGTTCCGGAATGGGGCCCCACCGGGTGCGAGTAATAGGTGCATGTGTATGTGTATGTGTACATGTATCTCCCCCCCCTGTTGCCTTTGTGGTGGGCACCTTCACCGTCGGTCCGTTGCCATCTCACACACACACACACCTCTGTACCCGTACGGCTAGTAGTTCATCTTCCCCCCCGCACCTACCTCCTGTCGTCTTTATTACCGCCCCGTACTGCCCGCCGCCAACATCCCCCCGGCGCCCGTCCCCCTCCGCGGCCATGCTGCTGCCCTGCTCGTCCCGCCTCTTCCGCGCACCACATCACACCTCCCCACAGCCCCCCATCGCTCCGCATTTTAACCCACCTCCCCCAACACCCCCACAGGGTTGTCATCGTGATGGACTTCCACGCGCACTGCTCCTCCACGGAGGTGGGCGGACTGCTGGCGGGGGTCTACGACCCAGCCAGCCGCACCCTCACAGTCACACGGGCATTTCCGGTGCTGGAGCTGCAGCAGCACCACCCGCACCACCCGCACCCGCACCAGGCGGCGGGGATCGCGAGCGCCAACGGGTCAGGGCGTCCGGCGGTGGCGGTGGAGTTCGATGCCACGGACATGGCCCGGGTAGGCGGTCGGTGCTGACAGATAGAAGGGAGGGTGTGTGTGTGGTGGGGTTGCGGGCGGCGGGTGGGTGGGGGGTTGGGGAGGACGTCTTAATGGCACATGGAGCATCCTGTTTGGGTGGGTGCGTGGGGGTCCGGGGCCGGTGAGGCTGGTGTGGGGCACCGGGGGGTGGGGTCGTGGCGGTGAGGTGGGGAAAGAGCCCGGGGTGAGAGGGTAGAAAGCAGTTGGGGGTACTTGACCTGCTGTCCGGCGGGTAGCTGGCTGAAGGGGAGGGCGGCCGTTGGAATGGGGCTACGGGGCTATGGGGGCATGGTGAGGGGCGGAATACAGTGCGGAGGGTGGGTTGGTGAAGGGTGGGGACCGGGCACACGGACCTGGCCTTCGTAGGGGCTGCACCGCCCTCTCCGCCCGCCTACATGCCCCTCTTCTGAATGTCTTCTTCCCGTGTGTGGCTGTGTGTGTGACTGCGTGCGCACGCACGCACATTTGTGCACACAGGTGCGGGAGGTGATTCGCAACTGGGGTCTGCAGTGTGTGGGCTCCTACCGCTCCCACCCCGCCTACCCCGCCGCGCCCAACACCCTGGATGTGCTGCACGCGGCCAAACTGCAGCAGGAGCAGGAGGGCGCGGCGGCGGGCAGGTCACCGGCCCCAGCGGGAGGAGAGGGGGGCCAGCAGCCGCAGCCCAGTGTTTGTGCCATTGTGGCGCCCTACGACCCCCTGTTATGTAAGGAACTGAGAAGTGGGGTGTGTGCGTGCGTGCCGGTTAAGGATCTGGGCCGCGGTAACTAAGAGGCGCGGTGTGCTTCTCTCTGCTACTATTGTGCAGTTGTGGGGTACGACGAACCACACTCTTGTGGGGTATGTGGAGGCGGCGGGGCTGATCGCGTTACCGCATCTGATATGACGTGATATGCATCATCATGCGCTGTCCACTGGCGCACTCACGAGCACCTCAACAGCGTGCGGTGACGCACTGCGACACTGCTTGGCCTGGTGTTGCCCGTCAAGTCGTGTCGTACTTCAGACCGTACACCGTGTAACTCCGCACAAGTAAGCACAGTGGTCCGTTTTGTCACACATGCAGGTGGCCCTTCCAGTGCAATCACGTGGTTTCATTTGCAGTACGACACGTCGCGCCCGGCGCTGCCTGCCGTCACGTCGTCCTCGTCGTCTCCCCCTCCCCCTCCCACCACCATCCCCGCACTGCCTCCCCCGGGCCTGTGCCCCATGTGTTTGGATGTGGAGCACGCGGAGAACCCCACCTCCCACATGGACATCATGAACCTGGTGTCCACGCAGTTCCATGTGGGTGCTGGGGGGGTGGGTGGGAGAGGGGAGCGTGGAGTTATGTGTTTATATGGGGGGAGGAAAGAGGGATAGCAGAAGGGGGGGTCTTCACCCCAGGGAGGGGCAACCTTGGGTGGGTAGGGTGTGTTCCGTTGCTTTGGACATTGATCGGCAATGGACCCTTTGCTGCTTCTTATCTGCATCATCACCATCACCATCACCATCGTCATATGGTTCCTCCCCAATCCCTGGTGGTGATGTCTCTCTGGGGCTCCCGATGGCTACCTGGGTACCGGCTATACCATGGGGGCCCCCCGGTCTGCCGCCTCGCAGCACATCGCCCGGAGCTACGCGGCGCGACCCACTCGGGCGCCCATGGCGCTGCCTTGGAGGCGGCCGCACTCGCACTCGCACTCGCCATCCTCCTCTTCATTTTCTGCCGGCGCTGGCGGCGGCCTCGTTAGCTGGCGCCCGCAGCAGCAGACGTGCTTGGACAAACTGGTCGCTTCGGTGGTGTCTAGGCTGCCAGACATGTTTGAGGGCGATTTGAGGATAACGTACGGCACAATGGTACGGGACATGGTACAGCACGAGTTTGCGCTGGCGGAGCGGGCGGGCAAGGCACGCGGCGGCGCGGGGGGTTCAGACGACGGTGGCGGCTTTGGCGGCGGTGGAGGGGGGGGCCTGGCGGCGGAGCGGTCGCGGCGGCCTCTGCGGGGTAATGGCGGCTGGGCTACGGCACTTCGTTTCAACAGCGACGAGGAGGAGACGGAGGACGAGGAGGACGAGGTGCAGCTGGATGACGATGATGAGGAGCCGGAGGAGGACCACGCAATCTGAGATTGGAGGTTCTTAACTTCCCCCCTGTTGGGGGCCTCGGCCGCTTTGAGTTGTGTAGATGCGGGGTGGGTGTGATAATGGTAGCGGCTGTAAGGGGGGAAAAAGGAAATGGGAAAAGCTGCAAGGATAATGGCGGGCAGAGGGGTGGGAGGATGGGGAAGGAGACAGGAAGCTGGTGTTGTGCGCTCTGAGTGAAGCTGAGTGATTGAAGAACTATGTAGGTCGTTTTGAGTTTAGTTATCCAGCTTTTCAGCTCTCGTTGTGCTTGAGTACCGGGATGTGCTTCTGCATGTGCTTTTACCCCCAAGTGCTTGTGCGGAGAGGGTCTGTTTGGAAGTGTCTGTTTGTGTGCAGGTAATTGCGCAGAGGGGTCGGAGTCTTGGGGATGCAGGTGGGTTGCTTCGGGGCAGGGGGGATCTGAGGCTGCTGGTGTGGCTGTGGTATATGGCTTGGAGTTCTAGCACCCGTCAGTCCTCATGGCTGGCGTTATATCGTTTTGCTGGTTTGTTGCTGGTTTGGATGCCAGAGTTTTGGGTGTCTTATGTATGTTTTCGTTCTCCTGCTCTAGGGTGTCCTTGTCCATCCGTAGCAGGTGCTAGCGCTGTGTGCGCCGGCCTTGCTACGATGGAGTTTGCAAATGATGTGCGCGCTTAGTCCCATGGAAGGAGAGCTCGTGGACTGGTTTGCTTGGTGGCCAAAGGCGCCTGAGAAAGGCGGACATGTATCGGACACGCTTGTAGTCTTCGTCACAAATCTCCTTGCTTCTAATCATTCGCGATTTACTTAGATAAAGAAACATGGAAAGGATATGGGGCCCACGCATAAATAAGATATTATATACGCGCAAGTCCGTTGCTGTATAAGCAATCTGTGCTGTACTATGATGGGCATGCTCTCAGCTCGACGTTTTTGATACATAACTTACACATACTGGCAAAGGGTGCCTTGGCTGCTACGCGTGCATGATTTACTGCTACAGTTACAGAGTAAGGCAAAATCCAATTCAAACGCATCTTGAAGACAGGTACAGCTTCACGAAGAAAGCACGCACTTTTATCAACTATAACCATAATCTTCATTCATTTTGTTCTGATTCTTATGAAACAATGACCAGCCTACCTGAGCGACACACCCCGGCTTACATGGAAGCGCGTCGCTACTTTTAAAGTGTCTTGGCAAACGTCTCACAGGAGAAAGGTTCTCGACGCTATATTTGTATTAAAATAGTATAATCGGTGGGAAATGGAGGACGTCGAGGTAAGCCCTTCTCGTGTGCTAGGTATTCGCATGACAACCATATTGGCGTCCACACGGCATCACCAACAGATGGACGATATGGAGCTTGATCAAGATGACATGGAGGTTGACCAAGGCCGTCGGCAACGCGCGGCCAAGAAATTTTCTAAGCGATTTAACAGTGCACAGCTACATGGGGATGAACCCAAGGGTAACCCGAATGGTGACACCAAGGGTGACTGGATGAGCACTGCGCAAGCTCGGGATATCCTCCGACAAGTCAGCGAGCTATGCTGCGGAAATAAGATCAGTGTCGATAATGCTTTTGACCTACAAGGAATTGATGCTCTACGGGTAAGCTCCGTCTCCAGCAGGCCCCGGATGCGCGGACTGCGCAGCACACTTTAACCCGACTGCTTCAATCTCTCACCTCCCCCCTCCACCCCTGGCTCACAGGCGTTGGTGTTCAGTGACGGCGCGAAGGACAGCGCCCTCTCAAGTGAGGGGCATTTCCAGAATGCTGGAATCGGCTTGGAAGCTGGCACGAAAATCTACAGCAAGCGTGTGGATGCAGTGTACAATCTCGCTAACTCTATCAACTACGGTCAAGCCTTCCGCAAAGCCGACGGTGAGGTCCTGAACTCCCATTGGTCACCGCTGTCGTCACTCTTGACGTGGCTCACACACCGCGGGGCACCCTGACACCCTGCTGGTAATGCCTCGTGTACGCGCCCCGCTGTAGATGACGATGGTGCTGGACAGGATCAGGACGGCAAAGGGGACAACGAGCAGGGAGACGGCGGCGCGGACGGTGGCGCGCGTGGTTCCAAAGCCAAGAAGCGGCTGAGCAGCGCCAGTGCAGAGGCGACACTCGTGAGGGACGACGAGCTCAGGCAAAGAGTGAAGGTAGGGCGATGAATGGCCAGTCGGGAATGGTACAGCTCGTGAGGCGAAGACACCAGAGGCCCGTTTGCAGCATTCGGCTGTGTTCCTCAGTTGTACGCCTGCAGCGGGCTACGGTCCTCCCTGGCAGTGCCGGAAGCGGACAGCTGGTCACAGACAGTCGTGTAGTATATAGTAAGTCCACGAACTCGCCGGTATGCTGCACGCCCGATTGTGCAGGAGCCAACCCTTGACATGGACCCCTTCTTCGTCCGGACTTCAAGGCTAATCGACGATCACAGTCCGCAAGGTGCTGTGTGGCGGCAGGAAAGCGGAGCCATGCATGATTAATAGCAGCATAAAGGGTTATATTGCTGTTGGCAACACGAAAATGTCGACATGGTGCAATGGTGTATAGTGAGGGGCTGCTTCGTGCAGTCTCTTTTGCTGTTGCTTTGGCTTATGTTATAATCACATGTCCTGGCCCGCTCCTACTTCTGCCGCGGGCAGCACGATCGAATGATGTTCCTGATTGATGTTGTCTATCTGCCTCGGCTGCAATCTATGTTGCGGCCTTTGCCTGCAGGGCTGCTGCTGCACAACCTACCGGTACTGAACGGCTACGACATCATCTTTGACTCTAACGTCAGGTGCGTACGTGGGCTCAGCGTGGGGAGTTGGGGGCATTCATTTGCCGTGAGTGTACATATTCAGGGATAGCAGGTCGTACGGCGAGGGGAAGAGTCACCCCTAAGCCCTTAACACTCGGATGAGGATGGCTCTTCCATACTCGATTGCCATTCCTAAAGCTCGGCGGAGACATATGGGACAGAGGCGAGGAGAGCCGTGCGAGTGATGAGCTATGCGAGTTCTGAATCCATCACGTGTGTGTGTGTGTGTGTGTTATAACCCTACTGGTTCCCAGACGTGCGCACAGCCTATCTGCCAGTGCGCCTGTCCATCCACGAAGCCGCCATGTCGTCACCATGCAGGCCCCAGGAGCTGCTGGAGCAGGCGCGTGACAAGGCCAACATAGAGGACGCCGCCAATCACATCATGGTGCGACATTGCGTTTTGGAAGGCTTGACTTGATGCGGTGCCTGGGCAGGATATGGGTTCTGGAGGCAAACCTTGCAGTGCCGCACAAGAACGATGATATCTACCCATTCATCTGCCGCGGCGAGGCAAAAGGGTTTTCCCTAGGACTCTATTCGCAGGATACATTGTGACTCCGAACATTGTGCCTCGGTAACAAGACCGCCGCCTTCACTTACACCCTCTTTCAACCAGCGCCAGACGTTGTTTGAAGACCCTACTATGGCAAATCGCTGTGTGCGTGCCGTCGGTCCTGTACATGCAGGTGGACCTCTCGCTGCTTCCAGGAGGGCGGGAGCTCCTGGCTGCCGTGAAGGTTGTGCGCGCACCTATCAGCCCGGGAATTGAGCAGCTGTACGCCCAGCTCAAGGTATGCGCGATTTCGGGCGATTTCTGGGGGAACCATGTGGAACCAATGGAGTAATCAACCGGCACGTCCACCGTCCTAGTATTTGTGGGATGTGCCTTCACACGACTAAACAAGGAAACCCCCGCAAAATCCCGCCACAGCAAGTCGGATATGGAGAGGGACATGGCGTCGCCCCACACAAGCCGTCCCACGCGTCTGGGGGGATGCCAGCAAAAGCAGCCTTTAATTTGCCTTACAAAAGTGTGTGTTTTGCTGGTGGCATTGCCCGTTGCCCAACTGCAGCCGAGGACTGATCTGCCAGGGCTACAGCTCGCGAGTGGAGTGGATCCCGAGAAGCTGCTGCGGGATGCCTTGGGTGAGGACATTTGCTGCGTGCGTGAGGGGATTATGCAGCCATTGAAACGGGGCTTAAATCTCAGGAATCCGTCTTTTGAATGTGTGCATGCAAAAGGAAAAAGCCCAGTTCAAAGGTGACGAAGCAAAAGCAACTCTGGATTTGCACTTCGCCCCTATCACTCATGTTCAATCCAAAGAAAACCCAAAAACGGATCACTTTGATGAACGAATACCTTTTCAGTTATGAATCACCGGTGCAATCCGAATCCCAACACGTCATCCAATTAGGTGGACGTGGCAGTCGTTTTTTTGTGCTTCCGGAGGGCCCTGTGGCACGGCAACCTCCGGCCCGGAGTCCCTGATGTCTCATGCACTGCACACTTGTACGGGGCAGGGTTCCAGGTGGGGCTCCCTGACGGCGTGTGGCGGGCCGTATCTTCACCGCATTACCACGGCCTCCGCATCTGTTGACTGCCGTGCTTCTCTGCTCCTGCTAACAGCGTTTATCATCCTGAGGTTGGGTTGGTGCCTCGCCGACTGCTGTGTGTGCAGCCACAAATGAAGGCGCAAAGGCAGAGGCCTGCAGGAAAGCAACCGAGCGGCAGGCCATACAGCAGGCTGAGGACATGATGGACGTCGAGGATATGCATGATGGGGATACTGGCGGCTTGCCCGACGGTCCCGACTGTGGAAGTGGCAACGAAGCTGAACCCCCAATCGACCGCCCGGGTGATGATGACAGGGGTGGTGATGACCTTGGTGGCAGTGCGGGTGGATCCGAAGGCGCTCTGTACGAAGGGTTCGACTCACCCGACTACGCAGCTGGAGGGCCGGGTTGCGATGACGACGGTGTTGATGATGCACAACATGGCCTTGAAGGCAGCCAAAGGGTTGGCGGCGGTACCGTCGGTGCTGACTCCTGCCAGCGGGTACGACTCCGCACACAAAACCATATTGATGGTGTTCACCCAGGCACATTAATACGTCCCGCGACTCTTCACCGCCTGGATGAAATTGTGGCAGGCACTCATGTTTAGTCCATCGTGTCTTCTCATTTCGACACATCGAGTTGCTAACGGAAGTGAAGCAGTTGATCGTGCCATAACCTCCGTCAGCTGTTGCCGGGAAGACAGACATATCGAGACCGAAGGCAACATCACCAACCCCCCATACATTCGTGCCCTATTCACGAGTTTTACTTGATGGTGTAATCTGCTACCCAACCGTCGCCCTGCCTCCACCCGCTCCGATGAGCAGTCTACGGGAACGTACGATGATGGAGAGGCTGGACCCATCCCGGGCGGATCGGATGACGAGTCGGTGCTTCTCAGCTTGTGCGGGGGAGACGCTGCCAGCTGCCGCGTTGGCAACTCGGCAACGCTGCAAGGGACATGGTGGAAGAGCTACGTCCGGAAAGCTCCGGCAGCTGCAGGGGCAAAGCCAAGGCAACGAAAGTAAGGCAAGGTTAGGTGGACTGTGGTGAGACCTGTAGGTGGAGACCTGTAGGTGGAGACCTGTAGGTGGAGTAGGGGGCTGTTTCTTCTCGGGACATCGCCACCGCTGCTCATAGGTTGGATAATCATGTCACTATACATGGCACTGGTTTTTTTATCAATATATACAAATCAACACATGACGGTTCCCACAGCCACTGAATTGGCGTTGGTATTCTAGCAATCAACAACCGAGGTCCTCACCAGCCTGGTCGCTCATCCGCCTGGCCTTGCAGGAGGACGCTGCGGCGGAATTTAGTTCTCACGTGCCCGAGAAGTGGACCTGTAACATGCCATGGCCTAGCGCTGTTCTATATACTCTGCTCATTAGCGCCCTGTGTCACCACTTGTGTCTTATGCTGTTCGCCGATGCCACTACCGTGGTTGCTCTTGACGATTGATTCGTCCGTACCTTCCCATACTGCGTTTTAGGCCTAAGCCCGAGTCAGAGCCCCTGGACTGGCGTGCCTCGCCTCAACCGCTGTTGGAAGCCGTACAGCTGCACACCTACAAGACCGCGCGCCGTGACGCCTCAGCTAAGCTGTGCATGCCGCTGGAGGAGCCCTCCAGCTCGGAGACACTGCACGGCTACTTCTCTGCTGCTCCTGCAGTTGCGGACCAAAGCCTTCCCGAAGGGGGCCGCAGCTTTGGCACGCTAGCCATGGCGACGTCCTCAGCGTGTGTCGGGGGCTTTGCATTCTCCGTGAGAGAGACATGGCGCGCATTACTCATTCTCGACCGTCAGCACGATTATCAGCAGCGGCGCTCAGCACGTGCAGCCTCCCGCAAGTCATTCGGGAACACAGCAGCTACACGAGTGGGTGGCACCTCGCCCGGTGAACTTCACTCGATCGATGAACTTCACTTCGCTGGTCCGCCCACCAGCAGCACGGGAGGCCTGTATGGCGCGACTGACGGGGGTGGGGAGTCCTACGGGGTGCAGGGGCATAATGAAGCTGGCTGTGGAGCTGGCGGCAACATGACCAGCGACGTTGCAGGTGGGCGCTGCTATCAGCCTATCGGATAGGGGTGTACCGCACTGTGCTTTGTTGCGTGTTAGTAAAGGCTACATGAGTTCTCCCTCTGCCGCAAGATACTGAATGCTTTGCAATGCTGCCAGGACTAAATGGTTGTCGTTTGTCAACCCGAACAGAACCCTCGGAGAATGATACAGGTGGTGGCGGGTACGGTGGATGTGATGATGACGATGATTATGACGATGGTGGCGGCGGCAGCAATAATGAAGGAGTCTCCGACATTCCATACAACACCCAGGATGGCCGGGGTCCGACATTGGAGGAGCTGCTGCAGCCGCCTCGGGTCATACGCCGGATTGCCGTCAAGTACGACAAGACAGCGGGTGTGGCGGATGTAGCGACGCTGAAAACCAACATCGAGGTCTCACTCAAGTACGTCGCCACGTGTGTCCTGCAAATTATTGCTTGCCTTGCCGACCCCGGCCCCCGCTTGTATGCATGGCTCTGTGACCCAAAGAAAGTGTGCCGGCCCCCAGGGCCTCCGTCTCCTGTGTGGCCGTTTCCTGTGCCTGCTGCCTCATCAGTACTCCAGCACACCTGAGACCATGGCTATGTTGGGTTCCGGTGGTACATGCACGGGCAGGTAGTGCTGGTGTACGGATAGGGGCACAACACCGATTGCAACCCCGCGGCCGGAGGGATCTCAGCCAGTTACATCCAGCTTCCCTTCACTAATTGTAACTGACCCGCCATCACCCGTTACAACCCCTTCCAGGACACTTGCAACGAGTTCGGTCTCGCAGTGCAGGCAGTCCGCACCGCAGGCCCCACAACCACTGTCTTTCCAGAGTGTACTCGACCAGGTGTCAGCTATCGCTACGGGCAAGGTTGAGGCTGGTGCCGGACCCTGCGCACGCAGCAACACCGCGCCCAGTGGCAGCAGTGGGTCAGGCGGCGGTTCCTTCCTAACAGGCGTCAGCACCCACCTGGCCTTCATCTGCCTGCTGCACCTCGCGAACGAGAAAGGCCTAGCGCTGGAAAGCTCCGAGCGGTTAGACAGCCTGATAATCACGGGGCTTGGTGACTTAAGTGCTGACCAGTGAAACACATGACCAAACTTTGCGCGGTTATGTGGTTACAACTTGTTCGACAATTGTTATGACTTGTTCGACATTGTTAGGCAAGGTGGCGCTGAGTGTTGCGCATGAGTGCACTCGGTTTCAGGCTTGCCTCTGTCGGTCGGGGGTTAACCGGCAGGCACATAGTGCTGCAACATGGCCCCGGCGAACGGACTCGAGCCCACATCCGAGAAAAGCCCACCTGTTTCCCTGCAACCGAGCCATGTTACCTACCACTGAAATAAAACGAAAACTTGCCAAAAGTGGACGCCACTGGGCGTCCAAATAGGTTCAAATATTTAAAGCCAGCCTGCCTCTCGCCTAGCATTACTGGCCCCAGCTAAAGACCGTGCTGGAGGTGCTGGTATGGACCTGGAAAGCTGTTGGACAACGACATGGTCAAAAACTAGAATCTCTTTTGGCTCAACCCATCCATACTCAACCGAAATTAAGAGCCACGAGAGCGGCAACAGCAAGGAAGCGGCCCCAAAACGCGTATTAGCCTGCTGATGGCAGAGGGTATATCACAATCCTCGAGGCGTTTCCTGTCAGCAAACACGTATACGACATATCAGTTCTTAGCCTGCCCGAGCACCAGTACAAATCTTCAGCATTTCTGCGCGCCAGAAACGAAATTAATCTTCAACTGCCTTCAACCGCTGCATATATCGTGCAACCTTGCTGCGCTTTTCAGCGGCTCTTTGGGCTGCACATCCAACCAGTAATCATTAGCCATCTCGCTATTCCATCGCCAGGTGTTGAACTAAGTAGCCTTAATCCTACACAGTAGCCTTAATCCTACACAGTAGCGTTAGTCCTACACTAGTTCAACACCTGGCGATGGAAGATAGGCTGCATGTCCGGCTGGCTGCATAGACACGGGTGGCGGCACATACCCTACGCCACAGTAGTAAATTCGATTAGTTTAGTGTCTGTCGAAACAAACAATCCAGTCTCGACACCCAGCTGCCGCCTACATGGAGCGGGAACGCTCAGGTCGACTTGGGTGGTAGCACTGCATATGGGAGGAAAAGGGGGGGTATACAGCGGCACGATGAATAAAATTTGACAATGTGCCCCGAATCCATGTGGCGTGTCGCTCGTTGTGCAGCATAGGCAGTAACAGGCACGAAGACAGGTATTGCAGGTGACGTAGGCAAACAAACGAACATACATACACGCATAGCTAGTGGACGAATTTCAAGTCTCAAGCTATGAGCTATCTCCACAGCAGTGCCCTAAAGTTACCACTATGCAGCAGCAACAGCAATTCAGCAACTCATCCAAAAGTGCATCATCACCGACCTCGAACCACCATGCATCCCCTCCTCTCAAAACCTCACGCTTGTATGGCCGAGAGCAGCCCCAATCCGTCATATCACATACCTCCGCTATGCAGCAGCAGCAGCAGCTCAGGCAGCTACCCCCTCCCGTCCCCCCTCCCCGGTGGCGGCTGCATTACCGGCGGCTCACCGTTAAGCAGGAAGAAAACGTCGCCCTTCTGGTTGCCTGGGCTGCTAAAGCGGCACACCACATAGGAACAGGGGCTGTAGTAGCCCACTGCGGACTTCTGGACACCGCATCCCACCATGTATGACGAGCGCCACACGAGCTGCAAGGTTTCATTGGGGGTGGAGGAAGCACCCGCAGGTGTGGGCACACGGACACGGGTAGCGGGGCGGGTGGGGGTCAGTTAACACCCCCACAGAACCCGCCGGCGTAAGCTACATGCAGAAGTTATTATCGCCATATCGCACCCCCCTGGCGGCCACCACAACTAACACCACCACCACCAAGCCCGCTTCAACCCACGTCATACAGTTGGACAACCCCCCGCACACCACCTGGGTGAAGTGGCTGATGTCGTTACGGCTGTTGAGGACGTTGTCTGTGAAGGGTGTGCGGGAGTACTTGTACAACCCACTCTGTCAGGGGAGGGGGGGGCAACACCGGATGGCCGACAGACACAGAGGCCAGTGAGAGCTGGGAGGGAGGCAAATAGGAAAATGGAGTTTGGTAATATAACACCGGTGGGAATGGATGTACGGCTCGTCTACTGGTACGGCATATGCAGGGTGCAACCCTTGATGGCCCTGATATCGAGGTCGACCGGCATCACATAAAAACCCTAGGTGTTCGCAGCGATATGATCTTCTACACCGTATGGCCTACCGGCTCAGCAGGCGGCTAACAGCAGGTCGTACAGGCTTTACCATATATATTACGTAATCTGTTGGTTATTGTGCGTGCACCACTACAGCCATCACTCCCTCAGCATCTGACTTTATAGACTCAAAACACTCAACCCCCGGGGCCAATCCAATTCCACATCCAGCAGGTTCCCCTCTCCCCTCCCCTCCCCACCTCGCTGTACCAGTCCGCCACTGCGTATCTGCACACTCCCAGCTCCGACACCCCACTTTGCCAGTACAGCAGCTCCCCCAGAGATGAGTGCACCAGCGGGGCAGTGCAGCCGCCGGCCGCCAGCAGGTCCGCGGAGCTCTGAGCCGCCGCCGCCAGCTCGCTGCTCCAACAAAGCGGAGCCACCTGGTGCAGCGCCCGCAGCCGGTTGATCCGATCTAGGGTCGCCTGCGCATCAGTGCACCCGCCCCCCTCCAGACCGGCAACCGGGACACTGCCCCCACCACCACTCGAGGAAGAGGAGGGAAAGGTACACACAGTTGAGGAGGAAGGGCTCCCGGAGGGAACCGATTCCAGCGGTGGTGGCGGCAGCGACTGCAGGCGGGTGGGTGGCGGGTGGGTGTACGGCGAGTCTGGCTGGATAGCGGGTGGAGGGGGGAAATCAGGCAGCTGCTTGCCTTCAAGGCCGTCATTGACATCATCACTGTTCGTACTGTACACATACTCGCTGCCTCCCTCGTTGGTGCTATCGCCTCTGCTGCTGCCACCATTGGCCGTGTTATCATCATTGCTGCTGCCGCTGCTCCTGCTGCCGCCACTACTGCCGCTGCTGCTGCCGCTACTGCTGCTGCTACCGCCCTGAACAGCAAGTGGCGTTGTAGACTCCAGCGGCGGCCAGGACAGCAGCGGAGGCGGCAGAGGCAGTTGTTCACTGTGGGGGGCATGTGGGGGTGGTTTGGGCGCCAGCCAGGCAGTGTCATACGGTGAGGATGGTACGTTGGATTTCGGCAGGGTGGCGGGCTCCAGGACTCCAGGGTGGGAGGTGGGCAGGGTGGCTCCAGGGTGGGTCATCGCGGGGCCCCGCAGGTGTACGGCAGGTGAGGCGGAAAGAGGACTGGGAGAAGAGATGGGTAAGAAGGATTTAGATGGCGGACGAGGAGGCGCACTCGTGGGAGGGTGTGCGTGTGGAAGCCCTGGCCGTGGTGAAGGGGGCTTGGGAGATGGCTTGGGGGGCCGAGGCTGGGGCTGGGGAACAACGCGTGGAGGTAGTAGGTGTGCAGGTGGCGGTGCGGGCGATGGAGATGGAGTGTGTTTTTTCCATGGACGTGGGGGTGATGTCCTCAGCATTGGCAATGGCCATGGCAGTAGGGGCGAATGTTGGCAAGGCGAGGGGGAAGAAGGCAGAGGAGGGGCCGGTGTTGCTCCGGTTGGACTGCGCTGGGGTGACTGCAGCCGTTGTCCCGGTGGCGGCGAAATGCTTGGTGACCCCACCCGCGATGGCTCCAGGGCTGATGGACGGCCGTATCCACCGGGTGATGGCCGTGGAGGAGCCTTGAGATCTGGAATGATGGCGGCCGACAGCGAGGACACAGCCTGCAATGCTAAAGCGCTCTGCTCGCCGGCCTTGGGATTGAGCGCTAGCAGCCTCCGCGAAACAGTAGTACCTGTTGAGTTGCAAGCCCAAGTGAGAATTGACCACCCGTCTATCTTCGCAGTATTAGTATGCGGTGCGCTCGACAAAGCTGCTGGTCGGAAGCACTAACGAGACAATCAAAAGATTGGACATGGCCACCAAGTGCAGAATAAGCTGCATAAAATCCGGGGTTTGTGATTTATCCTCCGTACGTTTAATTTTTCGCGATGAATACATCCGGTGTTCTGTAACCATGGAAAACAAGTCCCACCTGCTGTAGCATAGAGCTCCTGGTAACCACCAGCTACGCCTAGTAGACAAAGTACTGACAATACGGAAGGGTAAAGCGTTGAGATGGCCATGCCACGCCGTTTACGTAGAGCTGCGATCGGCGGCACTGCAGCTGCTGCAGCAAACTAATGGAGCTCGCATTTTCAAATAATTCGACACAACTATACATGTAAAGTTTTTCATGGTTCAATTTGTTCCTAAACACATAGCTGATGCACCAGTTGGCCCCACGGAGGTATGAATCTGAAATCGGTTGTTTGGCCGTTAACTGCTTCGCTGAATCCGTTATAACCTAAATGGCATATTAGCTAAGTGCATTTCAGGTCTGGTGACAGGTCCATATACATGATCAGGAAGATGGCGGGCCGTCCTGTTGCGTGCTGCTGAGGTCTTAACAGGTACCATCTTGGGTTTGTTTTCTTGCCTAAGGAGCGCCATATCACGCAACCATGAAACCTGAATTAACCACGAGGCGTTCTTGCAATGTAAAATTTGTTCCATGCGCAGGGGTCTGTGCCAGCTTCAGACAGTAATGCAACTTGGCCCGTCCGCAAGGGAGTAAGATCCATCACTCGAAGGTTCCTGAGACAGATTGGCTAAACATGCTACATGAAGATATGAAGGCGTGGGTATCCGACACGTGTTAACAGTTCATCGTCGTGCACGAATTGATACAAGCGAGCTACCATTATCTCACAAACCACCTTGCGCAAGCTCGGCGGACACCGAACCTAAACCTTCGACGTGAATTACTAGTTGGCCTGGAAAATGTACCGCCGCCCTTTGTCCAGGAGTCACATTATTAGCTAGATGACCTATGCAGTGCCTTTCCTTGCTGATCTTATCCTTGGTCCCTTTGTATTGTCCTTTTCCTCTTATTCCTTGCGAGCTTGCGTGTAAGTAAGCTGGGTTAGTTGGGCGTAAGGCCCAATGTGTAACTGTTAGACTAACTGTTTCGCAACGCCCCGTGTCGTCAATTATAGTGCGCATTGAGCTGGTAAGCTTATCTTGTTTCTGTTGTTCAGCATGTGCTGATCAATAAAACGGGTCCCGCGTCTCCGGCGCGCTTTCTCTTACTAAACCGCTGTGCATTCGGCTCTTCAGTGAGACCCGTCGGGTAGAGTGCAGTGAGCTCAATTCCTAGCACCAGGAAGTTTTTTGATTACAGTGGAGCAGATCACGTTCATGCTGATGGCGGCATTGTTGCCCGTTACACTGGGGATGATGCCGCCAGCTGATCCGACTACCGACTTCAAGGCAGCTGACGGGAATGTCGCAGCCTGGGCTTCCTTCCGGCCCTTCGGCTCCTACATATTTAAACTCCGGTACATGTCAACAACGCCCACCCGGATCGGATGACGCTCCTCCTGCAAGTGCAACAGCAGATTGTTTCCTTGACTGTGCAGCTGAACCAAGCTACGCTTCAAGGTGTGCACCGGCCTGGCTCGGGGGAAAATACCACGTTGAGTCAAATGTATACGAACCCGAGAATGCAGCGTTCGCCCGTCAATTCATGTTTTCTGTTTCTTCCTTGGATGTGAGTGTACCATAGCTCCTCATCAAATGAGGAGCTGGCTCGAGCTAAGCAAAAAGTGTCTGTTAAGCAGCTTGTGGACTTAGAGTTTAGAGTTCACAATGGCCCAGTTGGGTTTTCCTAGCAATTCTCTAGCAGAACTGTTGCCCGTGCTGTGGATGCAGTGGCGGTTCAGTGGGTGCTTCATCAACCCCCTTCTGTGCCACGGCAGGCTCTTCCGGGTATGGCCCAGTGATTTTTTTTTCGTTTAGGGCGGGTCTCAATTTATTCCAATCTAAGCAACAGAATTGCTAGGGTCGTCGTGATTTATTCCTTAGGTGTTATCTCCCCCAGAACCCCCCATACAACTCCCCTTATAGACCAAACGTCATGCACTGAGTTGGTGCATTTTCGTTCCTGTGTGCACTCTTCGTGCACATGCATAGATAGTTCTGGCACTGTTTGTGAGCAATAAGGAAAATCGACCAAGCAAAGCAAGCAACCGCCCAAAGCAAGCAACCGCCGCTGCAAACCACAGCACACTAGGACTCTACCGGTGCATCATGTACTGGCCCCTCCGCTGCTGTCCAGCCACTTCCTCATGAGGATCTGATCACTGTCGCTCTGGCCCTTGCAGATGCGCTGTGTCTGAGCCTGCTTGGCCCAGCGAACGCTTTGATTGGGTGCCTGGAATGGATTGCCAACCACACCGCATTCACTGTTATTGTTGATGTTGTTACAGGGTGGTTAAGCTTCACCAGTGACCTCCTTTCCCGAGGCAATTCCCTGCTCTCCCCTGCTAGAGGGGCACCCTAATCCGTTCACCCCATCTGACTTCAGAGTGTACTCTTTGAGTTTGGCAATTCACCACCAGCATCCAACCTATTCTATCGGATCAACAGCGCCTCAACTCAGATCCTGGTCAGCTCGCAAGATGATTTTACCACGTCCTACACCGTCCATAAGATGGGGGGCCACCTCCCATTTCACCACCTCTTAAACACCCGTTAGGTCGGCAGGCGGATTTCAACCCGGACACTCCCAGAGCAGAAGTCAGGCCTTAACCTCTGCCTGCCTTGTTATTGTTGTCGAGCTGATTAGGCGATAGCTTGAGCTTATGCTGATTACACCCACCCTGGAGGGCAGGGGTAATGGTAGCAACACCATTGCCGAACATTACAGCACCGCCATCCCAAACACCTTTATCAGGAAAATTTTCAGGCTTATCTTGCTGTTTTGGTGTCTGTTCAACATTTGAGTCATTGCCTTTTGCGTGTTTGGTTATGTGAGGACCGGTCATACATTCTGCTATGCCGTGTTGACTCAGGGGCTTGACCTTCTCACGGCCCCTCATACCTATTCTATGATTGAAAATACTAAGTTCTGCACACTACAGAGCAATCTGGCGGCAATGGACGTTTTTGGCTGGAGGAATGAAATTGTACGGGTCGGCCTCAATTCATTCCTTTTTTCCAAAGGCCGAATTGCCTGTTTATTCCTTTTAAGGAATATATTACTTAAGTAAACGCTGGCCACACCATATCCCAGCCACACTGCCTTGCAGCCTAGTCCGACGGTCCCGGCCCTTTCATGTCCCCTGGTGCTTCTCTTGGCACCCAGCTCCCCACTATCCTCTCTGTCATATTCTATCACCAAATCAGGACCATTGCCTCCTCACAACCCCTCCGAGTACTGCCCCCTTGTGCTCATTCATGTGCTCGTTGGTCACTCTCCTGGGCCCGACACTAGTCTTCTTTTTACCACATAATGAACACCACTTTGACTGCATAATGTGGGGCCTTCAGCATCCTCTCTGTGCCGCCTGGGACCTGGGGCCCTGACCTGAAAAGGGCAGGGGTGTGTGGCAAGCGCCTCTACATCTTGATGGTTCGGGTTGCCAACCTATTCCTCCACCATCATGGCCAGACTGGGGTGATCAGAACACAGTCTGGCTTCTCCTCTGCAATTATCCACTCACCCCATCCGGTCAAACAGGGGTTAATGTACAATCCACTCACTGCAGGCCCTGCCCCTTCATGCATAGCACACACAGGGCTGTAGCCTGGCTGTCAGTGTGATATTGTAACGACTTTCCCGTTATTAAGTGTGGGCCTTTACCCTTAATCCAGTCCAGCTCTAGTGTTACCATGCAGAGCTCCCGTTCTGTGCTAGACATTTCCCCCTGGAGCATGTGCTCCGACTCCTCTGGGGACCCCAGAGGAGTGATGATAGCGGACCTGGAACAGGCATCTGGTCGGCAGGTAAAGGAGATGTGCATGGATCGTGGCAGGGAATTTGTGAATACTCGCACAAAAACCTACTTCGCGTCAAGGGGTATTTTGCACGGAACTACAGCAGGCTACACCCCTGAGCAGAACTGTGCAGCAGAACACCTGAACCGCACTCTTCTAGACAAGGCCAGGTCAATGCTCATAGAGTCTGGACTCCCAAAATCACTGTGGGCGGAAGTGTTGGCGACAGCAAACTACCTCAGGAATGTGTCGCTGACTGCTGGGTCAACCATCACGCCACATCAAGCTTTCTTTGGTGTTCATCCAAATGTCAGCCATCTGCGGGTCTTTGGATGTGCTGCATACGTTCATGTGCCCAACGTCAAGCAAGACAAACTCGATCCGGTATGAGGAGTCCTTGTCGGATACAGGAATGGAGGGCAGTACCATGTACTATACGAGGATGGCATCATTGCATCTCCAATGTCCACTTTGATGATTTTAATGTCGGCTGGCAGCATAGTGCCGGGACTTCGATTAGGCAGCGACCCCTCACCAGGCAAGTTAGTGCGAGCATGAGGAGGAGGATGTTCACACTAACTTGCCTGGTGAGGGGTCGCTGCCTAGGGCTGGTGAAGGGACATCAGGCAATACTGTTGGCGAGGGATCACCGCATTTGGGTGGCGAGGGGGCGCCAGCTGGGGCTGGATCATCCAGCAGTGTGAATGTGCCTGGAAATACACTGCCTGATGTGGAAATGGAAGAGACTCGGTATCCAGTTAGGGAACGCAAACGTCCTGGCGAGTGGTGGCTGAATGAACCCAGTCGTACTGCTACTGGCCGAGTCAACCTGGCCGAGTCAACGCTGCAGTTTCCGCTGGGATTACAGAGCCTAACTCGTATGCCGAAGCCATCTCAGGTCCACATGCAGACAACTGGCGGTTGCGATGGATGAGGAGATTGCCGCTCAGATGGCCAACCATACCTGGGAGCTCAAGAAGCCGCCTCCTGTTACACGTTTGCTGCCTTGTCGGTGGGTTTATAAGGTGAAGCACACACTCGGGGAAAGACTTGGTCATGGATGGGTTTTCCAGTCATGGATTTGGTCATGGATGCGGTCATGGATCCGGTCATAATTTGCCATTAAGTCATGGATTTGGTCATGTATGTGGTCATGGATCCGGTCATAATTTGTCATTAAGTCATGGATCCGGTCATGGATCAGTTCATAGTTTGCATAAGCAAGTGCAGGATATGACTGGTTGGGGTCATGAAATGCGTGGTCATGATGGGATTTATGATTGGATTTATGACAGGTCATGGGACC